TAACCTAACTGCTGCATATCAGTGGACATATAATTCACAGGAGTTAATTACTTTACCTGATGTCTGGATATTTATATAATCCACACTTGTCAAGTTCATCACCTGTGTTAATAATGCTATTGTCATTTTGAAAGTTTATTACCCGTGTCTGTATCCCATTTCCCTCAGTCCCACAACCATGTAAATAAAACATGTAGTCTCAGGTTTGAACACCACTAGTCTGAAGAAGTGGGCTGTAACCCAGAGAGGTTTGTAGTGAATATATATGTATTTATTTGTTTAAAACATTTAGTTTGTAGTGAATATATATGTATGTATTTATTTAAAACATTTTACCATGCTTTTCTCCTGTAAAAGCACCCAGAACAGCTTTTAGCGTTAAGAACACAATATGAAAAGCTAAAACCAGTAAATTATTCAAAGAGAATTAAACATATTTAAAAATGTTAGGCAAAAGCATAACCAACACAGATTTAAAAGCAAAAAAAAAATATTATAAATCATCTTGTTAAAAAAGTCCCTCATACACACCCAGTTACTAAGGAAAAGCCTGCCTGAAGAGAAAAGTCTTCACCTACTTGCAGAAGGACAGCCAAGATGGGGCCAGCCTGGCCTCCAGTGGAAGAGAGTTCCAAAGTCTGGGGGCAGCCACAGAGAAGGCCCTCTCCCATGTCATTATCAAATGCACCTGTGAAGGTGATGGGAGGAGAGAGAGGCCTCTCTTGATGATCTTAACAGCTGGGCATAAATCTGTAAATGTCTTACAGGTGTGTCACAAGACTTCTAGCAGGATATTTTATTTGACCCATTTCATAACATCTGTGAACCTAAACAAGCACAGAATACGGACCTCTGAAAAGAAGCAAAAAAAAAAATCACCAAGTCCCCCAATATTTTGTCCCCTTCTCCAAACATATGAAGGCAAACAATTCCAGACCAGAATTTCTGACTAAAATTATCACCTATTATTATTATGGGTTCAAGTTGCTTATTCGTGTTTTGGAATTCTCGCCCACCGCCTGGCGAGGATGCAGAAAGACGGCGTAAAAATTCAGAGAGAGAGACAGGAGCGCTCTGAAGCCAAAAAAATTCAAATCGGTCGCTGGGGGAACTGTGTGTCTTCCGGATTAAGGACAGCCCTTTTAAACACGGCCTGGATTTTGACTCTGGTTTATTTCTCTCGATTCGTACGTAGAAGGAACAAGGAAGGGTCACCGATGTAGGGGAAGCACACCGATGTAGGCGGATTGGTCTGCAATGGACTGAAAGGTTAGTTAAACCGGAGTCGCTACCCTTCGGTTTAGACGGGCGACTTTGCCTCACTTTCAGCGGGGATGATGAAGGCGATCGCTGGGGACTTCCATTCAAAGGGCGCTGGCCGGCCTTGGTTCCTGATAGGGGACCTCAGCCGGGATACAGCGAGTTCCTTCGGACTTCGGAACCCAACCTTGCTGAGCGATCTGTTTATTGCAACTGGCGAGGTTTTCCTGGGTGCCCTGCTTCGGGTCAATGAACGCACGGTGCGGGGACGGCCCTGTTCGGAGCGGGTGTCATTCTTTCACCGGCCGCCTTCTGAGTCTCATCCGATTGATTCCAGCCTTTAAGTAACTGACCGTCATTCAATGGGAAACCAATTTATTCTCTTGCACTTAATAATTACTCTTCCCATTTCTTCCTCTCTTACACGTTCCAATTAGTTACCAGGCAGCAACAGGTGCCCCTGCTATTCACCTAGAGGCCGCGAGACTGAGGACCTGTCCAAGCTGAGAACAATTTAGGGAAGGCTCAAGGGGCTAGTCCACCGTGAGCATATCGTTCTTAGGTGATGTTTAAGTCGCGTCCCACTTATGGCGGCCTTACGAAGGTTTTCAAGATGTGGGAGGAGGTGTTTACTACTACCAGTCTCCAGTAGGATCCGAACCTTACCTCTGTTGCACCCTAGTGTGACAGTTTGTGAATTGTATCACACACGCTCTTCCTTCCTCAATTCGGTTTGAAATCGGCGCGTCTTTCTCCTCTGTCGGGCTCCTATTTAAGTGGCTGTTAAGTCTCGTTGATTCTGGCTAAACTTTTATGTGGGAGCGAAAGTCTTTATGAACCCCACGGAGCTACCTCTGTAAAGTCATATTATACAATTACTGTCCTTACATATTTAGGGGGGAAAAGTATTATTTCACCCGAATTTCACTGTTTCACGGTTCCTAAATCTAGCTCTTACTGGCATCGTTTCTTCCTCTTCTTCATAGGTGAACTATCGGGCGTTCCTCTGCGCGTTTAATCTCTCTTTCCCCGCTTTTACTCTCAAGTAAAACCACCAAATTGCACACAGAAGAGAGTCAACACTCCTTTATGCATTTTCCAGCGCCCATAACTAGCGTTGGCCTCTTTAACGCCACTGCTTTTGCACAAACTCATTTATTGGGGACCCAGCTCCATGAAACTCAACTCAAAAGAAAACTTGCTTTTCCTATAAACCTGTGCAGATTCGGGTAGCGAGAAAGTTTGCCAGGGCACAAATTTCGGCATAAAATTTACAGTATAAATTTAGTTAGGATTTTTTTAAAAAATACTGTAGGCGCAAATGTTGTGTTATTAGCTTTGACATTTAATAAGAATAATAAATTATATAACAATAAACGAAACAGCAATAATAGTAAGAGCAGCGGTCGGATTGGTCTGCAATGCAGCGAAATCTGACATGTTCCGTAGTATCCGCGGATACACACCTCAAATCCCGATCATTTTAAAAGCGGTGTCGGGTCCATCCTCAGCTCAGTGGGCGATCGCACCATTCAGGGCTAACCAGTTCTCCCTGGAAGCCATCCACCCACTTCGGATCAGTTCCATTGCCTCCGGGGCGATTACTTTTTGTTTTAAGCTGGTCAGCCTGTCCCATCGAAGGATGGCGAGATCTCTCGTCCCAGCTGGCTTAGGATTTGGAGGCGTCCAAAACGGAAGCGTTGCGTTGGCTCCTAGCGGAGCCCCTGCTTGCTCGGAAGGAGAACGATAGCTCGCCCTAAGTTTGCAGTCCTACGATGAAATTGACCGAGTCTAGTTAGTGGTTACGGAGGTGTGAAACCACTGGATATGAAACAGATTTCGACATTCCTGGACTTGCCAGTCCGAAAGACTGAATGAGATAAGTTATCAGCTGCGCTCGTTTGCTGACAAATCCCCCCCACCCTCAGTGGTTTAGGTAGAGGTTGGGAGTTCGATTCCTTACTGTGCCTCCCAGGGGAAGAGCCAGCCTGGGTGGCCTTGGGCAAGCTGCACAGTCCCAGGGCACCCCCGGAAGAAGGGAAAACAACTTCTGAGTAGTCCCTACCTAGAAAACCCTGAAAAGGGTCTCCATAGGTCAGAATTGACTTGACAGCATTTTATTATTGTTATTATTCCTTATCACGGCTCTGAAAAAACACTTTTAAAACAAAAGCGGAGTTCCTTAAGAAGCACCAACGTTTTTTCCTCTCATATCGGATATTAAATATGAATGCATTTGTTAATTCAAAACTGATGCGGATAAGAAAAACCTAAAGCCTTCTCAAGTGAAAATCCATGGTTTCTGCCCATTATATTATTTCGTATTTCTTCTTCAAGGGGTAAAAGGCGTCCATATTTTATCCGCATTCTGAAAATTTCTTCCAAGTTTTCCCCTGATGAAACTGATCTGCGGTTTCAACCCTATAGAGATCCACTGCTAAATGTCCACAGGATTACAGCTTTATAATTTCACCTCTACTAAGATTCAGATCCTGAATCCACTTTTTCAAAAGCAGACTCAGTAGAACTCTGGCGGAGTTCTCAGCAATTACTTCTGAGTAGACCTATCGTAAATTTGCACTGTCGATTTTTTTTAAAAATGGAAATATTATTACTTCCTTCTAGCTCTGGCAGAGGCTGAATACATTTGTCAAATAAACAAATAAAATAAAATTTATTAGGCAGACCATCGTACCGCATAGCCAAGCCGAAAAATTGTTACTAAGGTCTGGCAGCTCACGATCAGGAGCGCCAGTTCTTGAGCTACCCAAGAAAGAAAAAGTAAAGGAGAAAGAAAACAGAGGAAAAAAAATCATCAGTCCTACACATCTATTCAACAGAGAGAGTAAACGGCGTTCAACCTATTGAGACTAAGCCCTAAATTGATATTCGTCTGCCGTATAAAACGGGCAAAAAATAAAAACATTTAAACAGAGCAGGTTTTAAAAAAACATGAAAGGGAACGGGCAAGAGAAAAGGAAGAAAAGCTAAGGTTGCAATCTTTTGAGCTTCGAAAAGTTACTTTTTTTATTGCAACTCCCAGAAACCTCTACTGACAGAAGGGTAGAGTGAGTTGTAAAGGAAAAAAAGTAACTTTTCAAAGTCTGGGGAATCCTACGCCAATTTAACTAGGCGTGAATGCCACTGAAGTTACCTACTTTTGACTAAACCTATCTAGGATTGGGGTGCAAAAGTTTCACCGACGTTAATAAAAATCTCCGAGCGCCCCTTTGTACGCCCGTTCCTACTCCAAAAGGGAGACCGATTGCATTCTATGGGGCTTACTCTCCAGGAAATATGAAAATGGGATTCTATGCTTTAGTGTCACGCTGCGCTTTCGATTTCTGGAAGCAAATGGCTGGATTCCAAAGGGAGAAAGGCGCTTCTACTCCTGAGCAAACTTGATGGGGGAGTGATTAAAAGCCAAACGCGTAGGAGGTTTCTGAGGGTCAGAAATTTCCAAAAAAATCAACCACCACCCTCTTTATGTGGCACAAACTGCGGGGCAGAGGGAACTGGTTAGCAAGGGGAGGAAACTGAAAGAAGGAACCGCCTTTGCCATTTGAGGAAGGGGGGGGGAGAGAATTAAAAAAAATTTAAAAAATTAATCTGTGGTTCCTGGACTGGGAGATCCCCCGCCTTCCGGGCTTGCGTGGTAGCCACCCAATCTGACCACAGGCGGTAGAGCTGACCAGGAGGTGTGGGGACCGGGGGGGGGGGGAGGGAGAGCCGCAGATGAGTCACGTGACCCGGCCCCATCGCCGGGCCGTAAAGGGGCCGAGCCCTAGATGAAGGGGATCACTCTAAAGCCGAGATTAGGCGAGAGAGGAGCTGGTTAAGGCGCGATAGGAGAGCTGGTTCAAGAAACACAGGGAGGGGGAAAAAATAAAGAGAAGAGCTATCAGGCAATCCGAGATAAGAGCCGCCAAGGCTGGCCCGTGCTTCTCTTCAAAGGACTGACTGCTGGGTCTGAGGGGTGGGGGTGACTGGGAACCGGCATCTTTTCCCCCTCCCCCTCCTTTTGAGTTGTGTTTTTTTTTCCCCTTTTGGATTTTTTGAAATATCCTTAAATTTTTTTTGACCGTCCGACCCGCCTCGTCATGCGAACGTCCGCTTCTTGACTGTAGCAACAGCGTAAGTGTTCTTTTTCTTCTATCTTTTTAAAAAACCCTCACCCCCCACCCCCTCCGTAGCAAACTTATCTGTTCTTCAGCTGGGCTTATCTCCCAGATAATGTCACTCTTGGGCGAGCTGGAAAAGGGAGGGGGGGCTCCCCGAGGTCCATTAGCTTTGCGAAAACCAGCGATTGATAACCGTTCCGGTGATTTACGGGTTTGCTGATTAAATCCTCCCCCCGGAAAAAAAAACCCGCTTTAAAAAGAAAAGCGGTCACAATCTTTGCAGATAATGTTTTTATGCAGAAGAAGGAGCCGTTTCCCTACCCTCTTCCCCCACCCTACAAACTTTTACCAAGAAGATTGCTAAGGGGGGGGCGAGATGTCAGCGAGATAATGCGCTCCCCCTCCCCCGTCACAGGGGTCTTCTTCAAAGCGATTCTCTTCCCCCCCCCCAAAAAAATCAAAGAAACAAAAATCTCCCAGGAAGCGATTTTTTTTCTGGAGTGGTAAAAACAAACTGCCGCCCACCGACAGTTAAAAGCCCTACTTTAGCTGAGCTGGGGCGGATCCTGGTTCCCTATACAGCGGTGACTCTTGAGTAGACTTATTGGGGTTACCCTGCTAAATATCGGGGGGGGAAAACCCTAAAAACCAAACCCCCGCGCACACCCGTTTTCCAATTTTCATTTTTAAGACTGGACGACCTAGCCCGAGGCCAAGGTGCGTCTGGAGCCAACGCGAGATGGCTCCTCGCGGGGGATTTATTTCTTCCAAGAGCCCACGTGGAGGATCGGGGCGGAATGGAAAGTTTTGCAAGTTTTAACCGGCAGGAAAAAAAATGTCGGCATCGCTTGCAAGGCGAGCTTTGACCTCCGAATAAACGTGGAGTCCGAGCCTCTGCGCCTTTACTTGGAAGTCAGGCGCTCTCTGTTCAATGGGACTTACTCGTAGGAAAGGTGTTTCTCGGAATCAAGGTGTACAGGCAGGAGTAGACAGCCACGGCCCTGCAAAGAACTGGCAGGAAATTTCAATGCGTTCAGTACTGAATGGGTACCTTCGGAAGGTTGTCGAGCTGAATGTATTCGAAACCCGGCTGAATTCAAGGCGATTTGTTTCGGAGTAAACGTGTTAGGCTGCGCAGGCTGCATGGCTGCGTCTAGGATCGAGGCCATATTGTCGTGACCTTGTAATAGGAAAGGTATTTCAGAGTAGAAAATTGAAGGTGCGGGTATGGTTTCAAATCGACCTTCAGGAAGACGAGTTTATATTTCTGAATTAGTTTTTTTTTTCTTTATTTAAAAAGAAATAGGGTTTTTTTTCCTTAAGAAAATAACCCGCCGACACTGTCATAAATATTTCAGGCAATTCTGTATTACAATATTTTGTTTAAGTTCATAACCGCCTTGGTTAACTGTGGTGAGGTTTTAATTTGCGCAGCTTGCTTAGCGATTTCGTCATCGCGAAAACTGGACCAGGTGTTTCGCTTTGGCCTTTCCGTTTTGTAACTTTTAAAATTTTAATCATGTCAACGGAGTTTAAAAGAGAAAAAGAGAAAGACTCCAGAATTACCTGTATTCCGTGTTTCCCAAGAGAGAGAGAGAGAGAGAGAGAGAGACTCCAGAATTACCTGTATTCTGCGTTTCCCCCCAAAAAAGTTTAGGACGGCATCGCTCGTGCACGGACCCTCAGCTACGTTTTACCCGCTTTTCTTTTTAAGTTAGATGTTCTTGCCCGCAGCCAGTTACCAAGCGGTTGGGCTGAGTGCTGGATTCGAACTCGGGACTTCCAGATTCTGAGCCAGCACCCTGGCCACGAGATCAGTTTGATTTTGTGAATTTTTTCAGCTGAAATAGGATTTGATAGTGTGGCTAGGCTGAGGTTTTGAGGTTGGTGTGGCAGCGAGTTTTATGAATGGTTGGTTCTTTCCTTCAGATGGCAGTTGAAATTATTGTCGGGTGAGGTTTCTCTTTTTACCATAAAACTTTAATGAAGTATGTCAGTCGCCTACTAGGAAAACAGTGGACCCGAGGAAAAGGCAGGATTTATGTTGTTTTTAAAGGATGGCTTTAAATAGATCTAGAAATGAAAAGAATATTTCCAAAAAATGGAGAAGACCAAAGTGGAATTAGAGAGCATGTCTCCTTAAAAAATAAAAAAAAAATCCAATCTGCAGCAGAAAAAGTCCATCAAATTCAGTATAGTGTTTAATTTATTTAATTTATGTTTTTGATTATGCTGTTTTCATGTTTTTTGATTACTTGTAAGCCACCCAGAGTGGCCATAAGTTAGACGGGTGACATATAAACCAATTTTTAATTAAAAAAAACTTTTTTTCTGCTATTGATGCAACATGGCTCAGTGGTTTAGGTATCTGACTGCATAATTTAAAAAACTTTTTTTTCTGCTATTGATGCAACATGGTTTAGGTATCTGACTGCTGAGCCAGAGGTTCAGAGTTTGATTTCCCCCCTGTGCATCCTGTGAGTAGAGACAGTCTTGTGTGGCCTTGAGCAAGCTGCAGGAACTTCTGAGTATTCTCTGCCTGGGAAATCCAGAAAAAAGGGTTGCTGTAAGTCACCCCTTACAGCCCATGGATCATTATTACTGCAACATGCACTGCTGCTCTGAGCAGAAATTGGTGCCAGTTGAAAATATCTGCAGATTTAAAAGGGGGGTGGTTATTAGGATCACATTTGCAATAGCAAACTCTCACACTAGATTACAGCTCCTAAGTCTGAAGTTCTGCACTTGGCTTATTGAGAAATGAGTGCCTTTTTGAATTTCCTTCCATGTCAATGTGTGACTAGGTCTGAAGTCCAACTCCTGACAACAGGAAAACACACCTGTTCACATGCTACTCCTTCAGCTTAGCTGAGTTCTGGTATTGGGCCATCCAAATGGATAAAAACTCTCACAAGGCATCCTGTTACATTTCCAAGCTTCTGATGGAGGCTGTGTGTGTGTTTTTTTTTAACCTTAGTTCTATGCACACCAAATAGGCTCCATATCCCACCCCTGGAATGCTTCCTAGTCTACATTTTTAGCCACAACTGAGTGGAGTGGCTCTAAATATGCTTTATTGTCCGTTATTATCAATATCATTGAATCCTTAGTAATGCTTTGATAACCTGAGTGTAAAGTTAAATCACTAATTGAGTGGCTTAAGGCACAAACCTGATCATTCTCTGTACTATCATTCTTGCAGAAAGCAACCCTATTTGCTTCTCTGGCTCTGGCCGGAGCGCCACTCTGTAGCTAGCACTCTGCAGGTCTGTGGATCTTCAGCAGGTCTCCATTTTGTACTTCTGGTCCATTAATTGGTATAAATCGGACTATCACACCACAGTAAAGAAATGGTCTTCTTTTGAGTGTCAATGCCACACCTTGAGCTGCCCCTTGTGTGAAATATGGTTCCACTGCCGTTCCTGAAGCCACCAACCATATTTGTGTGCCTAGAGGGTGCAGTAGTACTCTTGTTGTTGTTGTTGTTGTTGTTGATGGGGGTGCAGTAGTACTCTTGTTGATGATGATTATCATCATCATCCCCTCCATGGGCACAGGCCTTGTTGAGGCGAAAGGTGCTTGCATGCTTCAGTGAGGCTGAGAGCTATCCTGAAGGGTTCTCCGAAGCCAGACAGGTCTCAGCTGAGAAGCCAGACCCACTGTGTCCACCACCATCATTTATGATGAGAGGGAATAAACAGAAATCCATACCGAATTGGTCGTCATCAGGGTCAACAAGGACCGCATCAGATGCTATAGCCCCTGGGGATCCAGTGACTTAGGTTTTTGGTGAAAACTTGTATCTGTTATATAATACCAGCCTGGCAATTTTTTTACTAATACTAATAATGCGCAACCAAGTCAATTCTGCATTATGGAGACTCTTTTCAGAGTTTTCCAGGTAGAGAATACTCAAGTGGTCTATCATCTTTTTCTTCTGAGACAACCTTGCCCAAGGCTATACAGGCTGGCTCTGCTTATGGGAGGCACAGGAGGGAATCGGCTTCCAACCTCTGTCTCTTCAGCCAGAGACCTAAACCGCTGAACTTATCCAGGCAGCTAGTTAACATGGCAGATGTTGAGCACCATCCTGCTGAATACAGCGGCTGAAATCCTATTGCTTGGCCTAGTCAATTGCACACGAATAGATATTTTGAAACCATAGGAATTCATGGTTATATTGACTCCAATGGGCCTATTCTAGTTGTGATTCACTATGCTAAGCAACAGGATTTCTGCCCCTGAGCCTTAAACTTCTAAGCATACATGTAAAGCACTGTGCTTCAAGCTTTCCCTTTTCCTTGCTCTGTATCCTGCTCTGTCCATTGAGTTTTGACACACTTCCAGCAACATGGTGAAGGTTTAAGGAGGTTTCCTGCACAATAGTGTGTTTTTGCCTTCCACAATCTGTGTAAATCTCTTTTAAAGTCTACTGTAGCCATTGTGATCATACATATTTCATAGGAGTCCAATCTCAGTACTCACCAGCTGAGACAGTAAGAGCACATTCCCATATGAATGGAGGAGAAAAATAAGCTGGTTGGGTTGATCTAGATTCAGACCAATGGGCACCCACCAGATGGGTCAATTTCCTTAGAGCCGAAATGTCAGCGTTTTAAAAAAAGATTGATCTTCTTTCAAGTGGCTACTTCAAATGGGTAAGCAGGAGATTTATAAACAACTTGGTTTGTGATCTGATACTCTCTGTCCCTGCCAAAGTTTTCTCTGGCACTTTCAGTTCATAACTGCCTCCCCTGCATACCACTCAAGTTGAAGTGCCGTGAGGCTTCAGTCCACAGCTCTGAATATCATGAATTCTTGTCAGGTGTCATAGACTCTCTTTTCTGGAATGGGGTCTAATACCTTCCGATAATTCTAAGTAATTTAGCTTGAAGGCTACAGGGCTATTTCTCAGGAAGCCAACGGGAATACACTGCAAAGTCTGCTCAAATCCATGCCGAGGCACGCTTAACTTAAAGGAAATGTCCTTACAACTTACAAAAGGTGCCTGAAAATGTCATTTTCTGCAGTCCTGTGTGCCCTGGGAATTTGCATGACTCGGTTGATCCAAACTGAAGCAACCTGGAATAAATCATTCTACTATTCTTGCAATATACCCCGATGAGGATGATAAGAAAAACAGCAACAATTTGCTTGTGGATGAAACACATTTCAGTAGTTACCGTAGTCGTAGAGGTACTGGGAAGAATGCTGCAGAATTTAATAAAATATAATTCTCTGAAATAAGACCATCAGAGCTGCAAAAAAAAAAACAAAACCAGCAATATTAGGAACAGCAGAGCTGTTGCACTGGTACTTAACTGATAAATAGGTTTTTGGTTAAAATCTGTATCTGCTATGTAACAGTCAGTCAAAGACTGTGTATTGTATTTAATCATCATCATCATTTGTGAAGTCAATTCTGACTTTTGGAGACCTTTTCCAGGGTTTTCCAGTTATAAGGTAGTCAGACGTGGCTTACATTTACCTCCTTCTGGGGGTGCTCGGGGTCTATGCAACTTGCCCACAGAGGCACAAGATGGTTCTTCTCTAGGAGACACAGTGAAGAATCAAACTCCCAGCCACTATCTCCATAACAAAAATAGATGACACAATTGTAAAAACAGAGACCTCTAAATTGTAATTTGTCACTTTTTCCATTCTCTTTTCTTCCTGTTCACCGAAGGCTCGAATTCATAAACTATTACTGTACATTATATTGTATCGATCTGATAGTCCACCATCTTGTTGGGCAGCTTCTTCTACAGAACAGAGGACTAGGATTATTCAAGTGAAACAGGATCATGCTGAATACATGCAAGCGTAGAAACAAGTACTGTAGCTGAGGAACTGAACAGAATCCATAACTTGCCATTGTTAAAACTAACAAATAGCTCCAGTTGGCTCCAATGTTTTCTTAAGAAAGCAATGCTTTGTAGACTTGCTTGGGAGCAGGACATCTTCAATTTAGTAAAGTTCCTTTCTAAATGCATGGGGTGAACTGCATATGTGTAAACCCTGAATTGCCTACCTGGTCTTTAGTTCCAAGCAAAGTTGCTGAGTCAGGTTGGAAGTTCGATTCCCCACTGTGCCTCCGGGGCAAAGATCCAGCCTGGGTTGCCTTGGGCAAGCTACACAGCTCCAGGGCATCCCTAGAAGAAGGGAATGATAAACCACTTCTGGGTATTCTCTACCTGGAAAATCATGGAAAGGGTCTCTGTGTCAAAAACTGACTTGATTGCACATACTTCCTATGTATCTCACCTGTTTGGCTGGTTGATAATGGGGCCTCCTTCCTCTGAGATGGGGTGGGGCAGTGTTCAGGCTTCTAGGATCTGCTTCTGTTGTTCTTTTGTTAGAATTGCAGGTCCAATACCCAGAGGTTGGTTTGCTTTGAATTAATGAATTCTAAGGAATTTGTTTTGCATACCAGAAAATAACAGATCTCACAGGCTTTTCATGTAAAAATTTGCTCGGCCTAACCTCCCAAGTTTTCTTTAAGTCAGCAGTATCATTTAGGTTGGGGAAAACCTCTGTGTTCTATTTTTAAATAACTAGAAGTCAAAAAACTTGGTTAAGTTCCAGGTAATTTGCAATATATATTTTATTCTACCTGATTGCTATAGAACAATTTTGTGAATGCATTCAGGACTATATCAAATACTGTAACATAATAAACAGTACTGGGACTGGATTCAGTCCTCTCTGATCCCTGGCTAATCACCATCACAGGGGCTGATGCTCAGTTTTGTTATAATTCTATGACTTTTGCCCACTTGCCTTCCATGGGAATTGGCACTGGAGAGTGGCTTATGAATTTCTTAGATGAACCGATGCATAAAATACACCAATGAAAGTCCATATATACTGTCACAAGTAAAAACTGGCTGAGGAGTTCCAGATCTGTAGATCTGAAATTCATGTTTCCAAGCTCTGGATGAGGTACAAATATGTGTGAGACTTGGTTTCACTGGGAGAAGGAACAGAGAAGCCCTTTGCTTTGTTTATGCTTAGTGGTCAGACTCCAAATGGAGATTTATGCCTGCATAAGGGAAATGGCATACATGTTGGTGGCAAATTGCCATTCATTAATGAGGGGCTGGTTGCATTCCCAGGCACGCATCCAGTCACGCAATCAGGCACACAGCCAGGAATGCAAACAGGACATTACCGAGCAGCAATTTGTCAGCAAGCCTTACGTGACTTCCCTTATGTAAGTATAAATAATGAATAGGATTCTGACCCAGTATACTGCAGAGTTAATAAAAGAAAAGAAAAAAAAGAGCTAGCACTTTTAAAATTATGGGTGACATGAGAAAGACTTGGAGTTACCTCCTTTTGCTGACCCCACCTAGATGGAAAATCCTAACTATCATTCGTTCAGGCATTGGTAATCTCAAACATTGACTATTTCAATGCTCTCTATGTGGGGCTGCCCTTGAAGATAGTACAGAAGCTGCAGCAAGTGCAAAATGCAGCGGCCAGCGAAATCTTGAGGATTTAGAGATACAATCATATTTGCCCAGTTCTGGCTCTCCTGCATGGGCTATCAGTTTACTTCTGTGACAGATTCAAGGTACTAATGTTGATTTATAAAGCCTTGAACGGTTTGGGACCTCATTAACTATCAGAATACCTCTCCCTAAGATAATTTTCCCATGCCACTCACACCTCTTAGGCTTTGATGTTGTGGGTGTTCACCCCAAGGGAGGCCAGGAAGTCTTCGACTAGAAGCCGGACCTTCTCTGTGGTGGCCAACTCTGTGTGGGGTGCTGTCTCTGTGGAGAAGCCCAAATATAAGCCGAGTCTAATATTCAAAAAGCACATAGAACCATTGCTTTTCAGGGTAGCCATTTTGGGATATCCTACCTTTATAACTACTGTATATACTCAAATATAAGCTGACCCAAATATAAGCCGAGGCACCCAATTTTACCACACAAAAAACCTGGGAAAACTTATTGACTCGAGTATAAGCTGAAGGTGGAAAATGCAGCAGCTACTGGTAAAATTCAAAAATTAAAAAAAATACCAATAAAATTACATCAATTGAGGCATCAGTAGGTTAAATGTTTTTGAAGATACTGCCCTTCTGAGCTGCCTGTGAAGGAAGGACTCATACTCAGTCTGAAGAACACCCGCACTGCAGGGGAGAACATGTAATTTTGACACTGACTCGAGTATAAGCCGAGGGGGTGCTTTTCAGCAAAAAAAGGGCTTATACTTGAGTATATAGGGTATTTGTTACTTAATGCTATTGCTGGTTGTACTTTGTAGTTTGCATTCTGCCCACTGCTGCCATCTTGAGTGTTTAGCTGTGTAGGTCTTTTTATATTTTACCTCTTTATATTTCTTTATGCATGGACTGGGTGTGGCGTGGTTATGTTCTTGATGTTTTATTTTACTGTTAGAAACCACCCAGAGCAGTGGCGTGAGTAGGTCTTTTTATATTTTATCTCTTTATATTTCTTTATGCATGGATTGGGTGTGGTGTGGTTATGTTCTTGATGTTTTATTTTTCTGTTAGAAACCACCCAGAGCAGTGGCGTGGCCATTAGATGGAGCAGTATAGAAATACAATCAATAAAGAAATAAATATTAAAAACTACTTCCTCCAAAACTTAGGGCAAACCCTAAACCACTTGAAGAAGGCTGTATTGGTTGGGGAAGAGGAAATATGAGAACAAACAGTCGTCTTCATGTCTTTCTTCATTTGTTTCTAGGTGCTTGAAAAGCTTCCTCAGGTGCATTGACTCAAGAGGATTAGCCCAGCTCTTCATGTCCCACTTTCGGCCTTGGACATCCAACTTCTTGGCCGCCCTTGATTGCACCCCGGAGGCTGCAGCTCTGCCTTTCCAGCTGCTGTTGTGACGGATATAAAATGTACCAAAGCTTAGCTCTTGCCCCCAATCCTGGCCAATCCGCCTATTCCCACGATTCCAGCAACTTCCTGCACTCGCCAGCCAGCCCAGCAGTCTATGTGCCCACCAGCCGGGTCCCGTCTATGCTCCAGAGCCTGCCTTACCTGCAGAGTTGTGAACCTTCCCACCAGGGCCACCCTTTGAGCAGCCACCCAGGATGGGCCCAGCCGGCCGGCCCAGAAGCATCCCCCTTCAACGCTAGCAGTCCTCATCCACCCTCTGGCTTCTCTTATTCTCACAGCCCACCGGGCAGTAGCAGTGCTGGGCGTGATGGAGGTTACCAGAGCCCACTTTTATTGGGCACCGGGGGTCGTGATCAATATGGCAACACTCTGGTGCGTCCAGTCAACGGATCCTACTCAAGCCCTTATCCTGGTGCTTATGTCAGTCCTGCAGAGATGCCACCATCTTGGACAACGGGACACTTTGACAGTAGAGTCTTGCATAGCCTCCAGACGCAACCGGGGACCTTGTCTGGCCGGAGATCCACCTTTGGTATGTACTCTTTGTCCAAGTAGAAGCCATTGATGCTGGACCATTGAATGGGCTATAGATGGTTTGTTTGTTTGTTTGTTTGTTTGTTTGTTTGTTTGTTTGTTTGTTTGTTTGTAGATGAGGGTGTTATGACCAGGCCACTGCTGTCACTGTCTTGTGTTCTACTGTCATCCCCTGGAAACTCAATGTTTTGCAACATGATAATAGAGGTGGACAAAGTAGAGATTTCCAAATGATACGTATTGGGCTGCAACTCCCAGATTTCCTCATCTTTGGCTATAATATCTAGGCCCTGTGGGAGTTAACAGTCCAACAACATCTTGGGGGTAGACTTTGTGGGAGACTTTTGTATTTTGGGTTAGATTCCTCTAACTGGACAGCAGAAGTCCAGGGGTTCACAGAGCAGAATAGCTTCAAGTTCCCCACGGACACCCCCCCCCCTTTTCTCATCAACTGGCACAAACAGTCTCAATAACTCACTCTGAGATATTAGCTGGAGAAAGAATTAAAAAGTTTCATTTCATGGAAGAGTGAAAGTAAAGAGTTCAAGGCAGGGTGGGCAACAATTACAGTTGAGCAGATAAAGCAGCAAACTGACAAACGCCTGGCTGACTTGCAGCAAATAACTGACTGAATGCTTTGAGCAACAGACTACAGAGAGGGGGAAGAAAGGCTCAAAACAGAGAGGTAGGCTCAGGGACAAGAGAGAACAATTAGTTAGTGCTGGATAGATTAACAGTCACCCGAGCCCAGAAAGATGAGCCCCAGCCACACCTACTAGAGGCAGGATGCGAGGTTGCAAAAATGCACGAGCCCAGAAAGATCAGCCCCAGCCACACCTACTAGAGATAGGATGCGAGGTTGCAAAAATTCCAACAGACTTTGCTGAGCCCTGAGACTTCAAAGCAGAATCTGAAAAAAAAAAATGTCAATGCAAATGATAGGGAAGTGAACACTCCGCAATGTCTCATACCACATTCAGCATTTTCAGAGGCTTGGACAGGAGTGAGATATCTCTAGCATCATCCCACAACTAAAAGCCAAAAAAAATATTCTAGAACCTGGGAAATTCTTCAAGTCCATGATCAACCAGAAATTGCATATAAAGTAGTCATCCCTACATGGGTGCCCGCCGTGATAGACATGTGGGATTGCAATTCCATCGCCTTCGTCTACCATGCTCATTAGAAGATGACATTCGGAGAATAACAGGTTGGGTAATGCCGGTTTCAAGTCATGCCTACCCTTCAGATGGAACGAGGACAGTCCTAGTTTGTCATGGTTCTGTTTACACTTTGCTGGGATGCCTAGGTCTATAAAGATGATTTTCTATGAAGCAACAACTCCAAAGGTCTCTGGATGTATCCGTGTTGGTGGAGGGTTCATGTACAGAGATGATGGTAATAAAATGGAACCTCCCCACCCAGAGTCTCTGAGAACCAACTGCTTCAGGAAAGCCCACGTGTAGGCATGAAAACAAGAGGCAGGACTAAATCAGTGGCTCTTCTGTTGGTGTTTTGGGAAGTCATGTTTGGTTTTGAATCATAGAATAATTGAGTTGGAAGGGACCTATAAGACCATCGAGTCCAACGCCCTGCTCAATGTAGGAATCCAAATCAAAGTGGATCTGACAGATGGTTCTCCAATTTTTTTCTTGAATCCCTCCAGTGCTGATGGTAATAAAATGGAACCTCCCACCCAGAGTCTCTGAGAACCAACTGCTTCAGGAAAGCCCACGTGTAGGCATGAAAACAAGAGGCAGGACTAAATCAGTGGCTCTTCTGTTGGTGTTTTGGGAAGTCATGTTTGGTTTTGAATCATAGAATAATTGAGTTGGAAGGGACCTATAAGACCATCGAGTCCAACGCCCTGCTCAATGTAGGAATCCAAATCAAAGTGGATCTGACAGATGGTTCTCCAATTTTTTTCTTGAATCCCTCCAGTGCTGGAGCACTCACCGACTCCTGAGGCGATTGCTTCCATTGTCATACTGTTCAAACAGTTAAGAAGTTTTCCTAATATTCAGCCTAAATCTGGCTTCCTGTAACTTGAGCCCATTGTTGCTTGTCCTGCCATCTGGAATGATTGAGAACAGATCCTGCCCCTCCTCTGGATGACCTCCTTTCAAGCGTTTGAAAAGCGTTTTCATCTCTCTCCTCAGTCGTCTTTTCTGGTCCACAAAGAAGTATAATGTCCATCTTATAAAACAAGCACCATTGCTCATCTGCATCCCAAGCAGGCAGAAAACCTACAAACCCACCCATGATAGGGACTTGCCAAGAGGTGTTCATCTTTATTAAATAATGTCTTTTTCTGAGGCCTGTCTTGTGGCCTGAAGTGGCAGATCCATCCACTTCTTCAGCCCTACAGGATTGGACGATTTAGTCAAGCATTGGATGGCTAAGATTCTTTTGTAGTATTTTCTGATGGGTCATGCTCTAACTCCCTATTGCTTTGGGAGAGATTAGGTTATCTCTTGGTTACAACTCACAAGCAGTGCAGATGAGCAAACAGGAGACAATATTGACCTTGCTAAGCACCCGTAGCATCCTCTGACATGGGCTTAGCCAGCCACCATAACATAATTGGGCAGTTCAAGTATTTGTGGACTGGGGCTACCCTGGCCTTTGGTAAATGTTGGCCAAGGAGAGACAGGGTGGAACAGCCAGGGAAGATAAAGGAAGGTAGAGATTTGGTTGAATTTGAATCAGCTGCCTAGGACTTTTCTTTTTAAGAAATCATTTAGGCAGATTTCTTTAAAAAAACTTATATGTTCTCAAGTATTGTATGAACCTTGGAAATTCCAGTGTATTGAAGGTTAAAGTTGGCAGGGCTTATATTTCCAAAACCCACTGAGAATTCCAATGTCTTTCCTGGAATGGAAACAACATACTGAAAACCAGAATATGCCACAATTCACTTAAGGAAATGCAACAGGTTTTTTTAGGGGGAGGAGGGGAGAGAAGGGTTGTTAATAAACTTCTAAAACTTTCCTTAACAGGGCCAGGTGGGGTAGCCGAAGGGCTTTTGCTGCCTGAGGCAGAGCATCAAAAGGCTGGGTCCTTAGTCAGGGTGCATAATACTGAAGGATAGCCACATTATTTTGGCACAAGAGAGGGGGGAAAATCCCAAGAGCACTTCTCTCTACTCCTGATGGTAAACATGCAATGGCCTGAATCCTGTTGTTTAGTTATGCCAGCATTAAGTGCAATTGCATTAATTCTAGCAATGAATTTAACAAGTTGCTCTTTGTATTCCCTTGTTGGATGGCAGTTGCATGCACTGTAAGAAGCAGCAATTCCTTAACTAGCGCCACTTTGCAAATGCACCATTGCATTTTCATAGGTGTAGCCAACCGGCAGGGGAATGGTTCCCTAGCTGTTGTTTCAAGCTCTTTTGCTTCAAAAAGAATCATTTTTCCAGTATCTCAAATATCCAGCACATTCGTCTGGAAAAGCGTCCCTGTCTTTTAGAGAGCAAAACAGCTGGCTTGAGGCTTACACAACAGCCTCAATGCACAAGTGGTCGAAGGCCACTTGGGTGCCTTTACTTGGAAGTAGAAGTGCATTGATTTTTCTGTGTGTGTCTCAGAGTTTGTGACTTTTGATATCTGAACAGAGGAGGAACCCAGGCAACACCCAGAAATTATGCCTCCTCAGCTTAACATTGCCCTTAGAATTTGACCCAAATAATTCTTCCTTGTTTGTGCTGATCTCAGCTTCATGGCAGGTCCAGCTCTAAGATCAAATACTGACCTGCGTCAAAACTTTGGCCTTGGCATGTGGGGGATGAATGAACAATTTCCACTGCAGTGGATTTCCCAGCTAACAGTTTAAAAACAAAGCTTCCAAATTTCCCCCTAGAATTCGGGTAAAACTAGAAATGCATTATTCGGTTTAACCCCAAATACCAGCCTTACAACAGGTTGCCTGTCAGGCTGGGAGGCAGGGTAAATTCCTTTAGTTGAATCCCGAGAATGTTCTGGAAAAGAGACAATAATTTGGATTTTGGCTTCTACCGAACAGTTTTTGTTAGCCGCCACCTGCCAAGGCTACACAAAACCAAGTGTGACATGAAAAATAAACCATGCACCACTCATTAAAAAGAAGGGAAGTTTACAACAGGTTGCCTGTCAGGCTGGGAGTCAGGGTAAATTCCTTTAGTTGAATCCCGAGAATGTTCTGGAAAAGAGACAATAATTTGGATTTTGGCTTCTACCGAACAGTTTTTGTTAGCCGCCACCTGCCAAGGCTACACAAAACCAAGTGTGACATGAAAAATAAACCATGCACCACTCATTAAAAAGAAGGGAAGTTTTCAGCATGCTGCTCAGAAATAGACATGTGGTGAATAAAAATTTCAGTGGGTTGGGAATTATTTGCCAGTGAAATAACAGGTTTAAAGCAGAGGTTTAAATGGCAATTTCTGCAGTTGTGTACCAAAGCTGTAAAATTCTTGCTATTTCATACATCAGTCTTTGAGCCAGTACAGTAACTCTCAAAATTATACAAGGAAAAAAGAAAACAAACTACAAACCATCCTAGATCACTAGTCCTCAATATCTTTGTCCTCCAGATCTGCAAAAATATATCTCTATCTGGGAAAAAAAAACAATCTAAAAAATCAGATCATTTTCAGGCATAATTGAATAGTCTCACTGAACTTAAATTTATTCCTAAATAAGCACATCTAGGAAACAGCAATCCCAGGGAGCTAGCCTAGGAAGCTGACAGAAGCAAAACCCAGCTTTGCTGGAAAGGGCTGTTTCAAAAGCCAGTTTTCTCTGTGGTTTTCTTATAAATTCAGAAGGAAATGATTTTTTCTGGTTCTTCATTACAAAGTAAATAAGAATAATATTAATGTTAATTGTAATAATATAAACATATAAAATACAAAATTATGCATAATATATAATTATAATAGTACTGTATACTAGTAATTACAATTATAATATATTAATAATTACCCTGTTTCCCCGAAAACAAGACCTCACCTGAAAA